GGAGCCCCTAGCAGCGTCCTTGCTCCTAGTAGTAAGGCCAGGAGCCCTTAGTAGCGCCCTTGCTCCTAGTAGTAAGGCGGGGCTCCTAGTAGCGTCCTTGCTCCTAGTAGTAAGGCGGGGCTCCTAGTAGCGTCCTTGCTCCTAGTAGTACGGCCAGGAGCCCCTAGTAGCGTAGCCCTTGGCACGGCAGGAGCCCCTAGTAGCGTCCTTGCTCCTAGTAGTAAGGCCAGGAGCCCTTAGTAGCGTCCTTGCCTAGTAGTAAGGCCAGGAGCCCTTAATAGCGTCCTGGCTCCTAGTAGTAAGGCCAGGAGCCCTTAATAGCGTCCTTGCTCCTAGTCGTAAGGCCAGGAGCCCTTAATAACGTCCTTGCTCCTAGTAGTGGCCCTTAATAGCGTCCTTGCTCCTAGTAGTAAGTCCGGGAGCCCCTAGTAGCGTCCTTGCTCCTAGTAGTAAGGCCAGGAGCCCTTAATAGCGTCCTTGCTCCTAGTAGTATGGCCAGGAGCCCCTAGTAGCGTCCTTGCTCCTAGTAGTAGCTTCTTGTTCCTAGTAGCGATGCCAGGAGCCCCTAGTAGCTTCTTGTTCCTAGTAGCGATGCCAGGAGCCCCTAGTAGCTTCTTGTTCCCAGTAGCGATGCCAGGAGCCCCTAGTAGCTTCTTGTTCCTAGTAGCGATGCCAGGAGCTCCTAGTAGCTTCTTGTTCCTAGTAGCGATGCCAGGAGCCCCTAGTAGCTTCTTGTTCCCAGTAGCGATGCCAGGAGCCCCTAGTAGCTTCTTGTTCCTAGTAGCGATGCCAGGAGCTCCTAGTAGCTTCTTGTTCCTAGTAGCGATGCCAGGAGCCCCTAGTAGCTTCTTGTTCCTAGTAGCGATGCCAGGAGCCCCTAGTAGCTTCTTGTTCCCAGTAGCGATGCCAGGAGCCCCTAGTAGCTTCTTGTTCCTAGTAGCGATGCCAGGAGCCCCTAGTAGCTTCTTGTTCCTAGTAGCGATGCCAGGAGCCCCTAGTAGCTTCTTGCGCCCAGTAGTAAGGCCAGGAGCCCCTAGTAGCTTCTTGCTCCCAGTAGTAAGGCCAGGGCCCCTAGTAGCGTCCTTGCTCCTAGTAGTAAGGCCAGGAGCCCCTAGTAGCGTCCTTGCTCCTAGTAGGAAGGCCAGGAGCCCCTAGTAGCGTCCTTGCTCCTAGTAGTAAGGCCAGGAGCCCCTAGTAGCGTCCTTGCTCCTAGTAGCGATGCCAGGAGCCCCTAGTAGCTTCTTGTTCCTAGCAGCAAACTCTCAAAGACGTCTTCCGATGTTTCGAGATTCCGATTTGCGATTTCCGTGCTCTGTTTCATCAGCGGTGACACATGATACTTTCTCATGTCGGCCTGGCTAGATGTCCTCACACTGCTCGGCCCAGGCCCAGTCTGTGCACCTTGTGCAAAAGGGGAAGTCGCTCCACCTCGCGCGAAGGGAGAAGCTGCTGCCCCTGCCGAAGTAAAGGGTGATGCAGATGCCACCCCTCCGCTCGCAAAGGGCGATTGAGATCTTTGTGTTGCTTGTGTTGGTGTAGCTTTGGGCTCGGACTTTGTGAAAGGTGAAACAGCTCCGGATCCTCCAGAGACTCCAGCTGCAAAAGGTGACGATGTAGTGGCAGTTGCGAAAGGTGATGCTGAAGTGACACCTGCGCTTGGACCGAATGGTGAAGCTGAAGTTGTAGATCCAGATGTGGATGTCGCAAAGGAAGATGATGTGGAAGTAGAGGGCCCAAAGGGAGAGTTGGCGGCGTGAGATCCTGAACCAAATGGCGTGGCTGACGACGTCCCTGTGAACGGCGATGCTGTTGATGCTGCAGATCCAAACGGTGATGTTGTAGCACCTGAAGATCGGTCCATGCAGAGCAACAGGCTGAAGTTGAAAATTCAGATCCTACATTTGTTACTGCAAGGACGCTACTAGGGGCTCCTGGCATCGCTACTAGGAGCAAGGACGCTACTAGGGGCTCCTGG